GCGACGATGCCAAGTCACCTGACCTCGAGCTTGTCGCTGAGCGAAGAACGATTACCTCCTGGGCGTGTAGTACACCTGGAGCTTCTCGCTGACCTCGAGCTGGACGTGTAGTACACCTACAGCTGAGACCGAAGCCATGCGGCTCGCTCCCTCATGGGAGACGATGAGGATGCAGATGATAATGACAATGGGGGTGAGGACGCGGGTGAGGGCGGGGGTGAGGATGATGAGGACGAGAAGATGGGGGAGGACGACGGTGATGAGAAACGACAGGATCAGAGGCAGGAACTGCAACAACACCACGAGGGACAGGAAAAGCTCTGGGGGAACTGGGGCGACGGGAGAGGGAAAGGATGGCGAGGAGGGAAGGAGGGAGGGAGGGAAGGAGAGATGAGAAGAGGGACACGGGCGCGGGAGGAACAGGAGGTGCGGCAGAAGGGAGGGAAGGAAGCTGGACGTGGAGGACGCCGAGGGGAGGGAGAAGCAGCGAGAAGGAGCGGCCTGCCTCAGGAGAGGCAGGAGCAGGCGGGTGCCGACGCGCGTCCTGCGCGCTGGCCTCTAGCAGCATGCTCAGCACGCCCTGCACGTGGGACAGCTCGTGAGCCGGCATGGGATCGCCCAGGGGAACCTGGCCGCTGCCGAGGGATCCCTGCTGCACGGCCTCGCAGGGGGGTGGGGGGCGGACAGAGAAGGGGAGGGAGGGGGGCTTGCACGGGAGCGAGGGCCGCGCACGACGAGGAGGGCGAGGACGCGGACTGGGAGGAGGAACCGAGGAGAGGAGAAGGTCTGAGATGGGAAGGCCAGAAGGGGAGAATGGAGGGTTGGCAGGGCAACAGCGAGCATCAGGACCAGATCGTCGTCGAGAAGGCACAGAACTGGCGGGGCGGCGGCGGATGTCGGAGCGCAGGGGTGCAGGAAGCAAGGCCTTGTTGGCTGCCGCCACGGACTTGGTGGTGGAGCCAAGCTGCTGCGTCGACGATGGCAGCGGCCAGGGTGTGGGCATGCCCTCTATGACCTGAAAGGGAAGATGCGGCACTACATCTCAACATGCTCCTCCTTGCCGTGGTCCCCTCATCTTACTGATCCCTCCCCTCATCCTCCTGATGCAAAGCTGCGGGGAAAGAACGGTGAGGAGAACCAGGAGAAGGAGGAATACGTGCAGGGCCAGGAGGAGGGCGGCAAGGATGAGGTGGCGATCGCGACGACTTTCCGGAGCTCGGTATGGAGACCGAATGAACTCACATGGCTGCGGCCGAATGCTACGAAGAAAAAATAAGAAGGGGACGGAGGAGCAGGGCAAGGAAACCGAGGACCGGGAGGAGTAGGAGTATGCGGTGTCGTGCTCTTCGCAGGCCGACACACGAGACGAAGCCTCCAGGATGCCCCCAACATGTTCCCCCATCCATTCGCATCCCGATCCATCACAAAATCAATGGGAAAGCTAGCTCGTGCCCGGTTCCCCTGGAAGGCTGCTAAGGATGATTCTATGGAAATGTCACGCGCAACGTGGGGGGCATGAGGAGGCGGAAAAAAAACGATGCCAGCAACAACAAATGGAGAGAGAGTGAGGCAACAATGAGAGACCATCGTACTGCAACGCAGCGATGTTGGCATCGCACAGCCGAAAAGGTCAATAAACAGACAAACGGTGGACGCCACACGAGCCATCCTTGAACAGACGAGCTCCCGCTACCAAATGGGTTCCCCTAAACATATTGAACGCAACCGGTGAGGCTTTACCTAGATATCTGCCCCACCCCAGCGCGATGGCAACTGAGGGCAAAGTTTGAACAGCACACAAAAAGGCAAAAGCCACGGTACAATACACCAGCCGTTTGTCAACTCACCTGCAAGCAAGGGTGATGCTACAGTAAACTACAAGTTACATACATGGAGGCAAAACCACTTGCCAAGCATATCCATATTATTGTAACATGCGAGGCATTATTTGTACACCCACCTCAGGCTCGCCTGGCAACGGCTATGCCGCGCCAGGGTCGCCGAGAAGTAGTTGACTGCGCAATTTCCTTTGGTCACCTTTTTCTGGTCTAAGACTGAGTATACCGACTCTTTCGGGCACCCCTGGCCCAGTCCGCATCCAGCGTTTCGGCGTGTGGTTGGCGATCCTCTTCAGGAACTGCCACAACCAACCACACGGGGCAGGCCGACGCTGTCACGAGCGACACCTGTTTCCGACGGTGCGAGAACGCTACGCGTACCTCTTGAATGCAAAGATACACTTTGTCGGGTTGTATGCTGGGACTCCTTCGTACACACCAAACTTGCCAGAAGATGTCAAGCCAGGCTCTGAGAACCTGCTGTGTTGGCCTTGGAAGAAGGGAGGAAACAACTGCCCCCTCTTTCGTGACACCGCCGGCAACCGCAGCTAACCAGGGCGATTGCCCCCTTTGCCATGAGCGGAAAGGAACCACGGCCCAAGGGTGTGAGCCACCCGGCCCCTGCGTTAGGCGCTCGTGGATAATCAGAGCGCACCTGCGAAGTCCCGTGTTTGGTAAAGCCACCACTGCTACCTCTCTGACTGTTGGGAAAAAGGCCGCACCACCGAAGACGAGTTCCTGGAAAGACTTTCGGTTGATAACCAGTCACTTGCCACGCATATCCATGTTATTGGAACATACAAGGCATTCTTTGTACACCCGCCTCAGGCTCGCCTGGCAACGGCTATGCCGCGCCAGGGTCGCCGAGAAGCATTTGACTGCGCAACTTCCTTTGGTCACCTTTCTGGTCTAAGACTGAGTACGCCCACTCTTTCGGGCACCCGTGATCCAGTCCGTCTCCAGCGTTTCGGCGTGTGGTTGGCGATCCTCTTCAGGAACTGCCACAACCAACCACACGGGGCAGGCCGACGCTGTCACGAACGACACCTCTGTTTCCGACTGTGCGAAAACACCACGCGTAATGCAAAGATACACTTTGTCTGGTTGTATGCTGGGACTCCTTCGTGCACACCAAACTTGCCAGAAGATGTCAAGCCAGGCTCTGAGAACCTGCTGCTTTGGCCTTCAAAGAAAGGAGGAAACAACTGGCAAGCTACACTGGAAGCGCCTGGCAAGCGACAGGCAAGCTGGGAGCACGGCAGAGGCTGGCTCAAGCCTAACTGAAGGGGCCGCCAAACCAAGACAAGTGGCGGGCAAGCAGACTCAAGAATCGTGATGAAGTAGTATGCCAGCAAGCGGATACACGCAGAAAAAAGCCAAACGCCAGGTCAAGCACGCCAAAGCACGTGGCGATAAACGAAGGCGCATTGGCAAGCGACATCTTGTCCAACGGTCACGCGAAGCACATGCCAACACGAGTCACGAAGACAAATGGGAGCATCCTCAAGAAACCAGTGGAACATGTTCAAGAAAAATGGGGACAAAGTCACACACCGTTCTGCACAAACTGAGAACCCCTGAGGCGTTGGCAGAGAAACCCGTGGGGATGTACTTTGCCTGGGCAAATACCCCCGTGCAACGGGTTCGATACAGGTGCGGGGGCAGAACTGGCGGTGTGGTATAAGCGTGATGGCCCGTGAACAATTTGAAGCACGGGCCCACTTATTATCTCCATGATCATGATATCCCACCAGCCCTCTGGGCGTCGGTGGTTTAGAGCGTTTCCTCTTCCACCCCTCCTTCTTCCCCTTCGGGGAGGGGTTTACCCCTCCCCCTACCCCCTCCCCATTGACCTGGACAGGGGGGGCGGGGAGCGGTCAGAGCGTCCAAAACGGCCTCGGCGAGGAAGCCAAAATCATTGATTTTACTATGGTTTGGGCCCCATTTTGGCCTTTTGAGGGGGCAACGCTGATTAAGGCTCCCCTTTTCTTTGATCGACCTTTTCTTTGATCGATTTCCTCCACGATGGCCGCAAGAGGCCCCCAGGATGCCCCAAGAGGCCGCAGAATGCCCCAAGATGGCCCCAAGAGGCCCCCCAAGAGGCCCCCAGGAGGCCCCCAAGAGACCCCCAAGAGGCCCCAAGAGACCCCCCAGAGGCACCCAAGGTGCTCCCAGAGGCCCCAAGATGGCCCCAAGAGGCCACAAGAGGCCCCCAGGAGGCCCCAAAGAGGATCCCGAACGGCCCACAGAGGCCCCCCCGAGGCACCCAAGACGCCGAAAAGCCCCTCAGGACGACCCTCTACTCGCCTGGGCGTCGTTTCTGGACGGGCTGGTGGGGATACGCGAGGCGTCTAGAATTCCTACTCCTCGTCTTCTTACTCTGCGTGACATTCCCGTCGTCGTTTCCCTGCTTCTCTCCTTCTTCGTCCTTGTGTTCGTGGTCGTCGCCGCCGCAAGAATCATCGTCGTCCAAGTCCTACGGTTCGTCCTCCTCCTCCTCCTCCTCCTCCTCCTCCTCTTGCTTTTCCTTCTCCTCCTCCTGCATTGTCCATTATCCTCCTCCTCCTCCTCCTCCTCCACCTCATCATCACACACCCTCGTCCGCTGGGCAAAACCGTAGGGGAGGACCTGCTGGCCCCACCACCTCCTCATCGCTCCTGGTCTCCCTGAAGACTGGGGTGCAGTCGCAGGCATGGCGGAAAACAGGAAGACAACGACGGCTGCAACAACAAAGGCGACGGTGACGACGAAGGCAAAAATCATGTCGTCGACGACAACGACGAGGACGGGGGCGACCAGATGCGACCGGGACGACGGCGGCGACAAGGATGTAGTGGTGGTGGGCAGCAAAGGAAAGGGCGCCCCTCAAGTACATAGTATATATATATATATATAGGCACAGGCTGGCAGGTGCAAGGGCGTATTTCACACGCCTGGGCTACGAGGGTGACTGACCACGACGGCGAAAACGGCGGCGACGACGAAGCGAAACGACGAAAACGGCGACAATGTTATGTCGGGCATGTCCTCTGACAGGACACCTGTGACATCAATTTGTTTACATATATATATATATATATGTATACATATATATGTATGTGTGTTTGTTTCTTTTTAAAAATTATCATTCTTTTTTTTTTCTAAAAAAAAAATGACAATAACTGACAAACATACATCGGAAACGCTCCAACAATACTTCGGAAAAAGCCACGATCCCTGCTGGCTGGATGATCGTTTTGTTTTCGCGGTGTCCCCGCCTGCGAGTTTCGGCGCGCGCGGCGCGCGTAGAATCCGGTGTGGCCTGCGTGCCAGACAAAATGGAGCGCCAATTCAATCCCGCGTAAACTATGGCCGCATATATTTCGGTACCAAATAAAGTCGATACACATTCAATGGATTCGCGTTCGCGCGGGAGCGAACCGACCCTGTTGCGCACCCAGCCGACTCCATGCGCTTCGTTGCCACTGGGCGCACCTCGAGGAAAAGCGACAGACACAGCATGTGCCCTGAGGCGCGCGAGGGAAGCCACCAGAAAGAAAACAGCCAAAATCAACGCGCAGACAATCCAAAGGCAACAGCTGATCGCAACGCGCGCATATGGCAAACGAGAAGCACCACAAAATCAAAACCAAGGTCCGCGGGGACTGGAGGAACGCCACGAACTCGCCTTCTTTACCGATCGGTCGATCGATCATCCTCCGATCGACCGATCGACGGGTCCTCATTCCCCGCGCCCCCCTCCCCCCCCGTCCCTATGTGCAAATGCCTGTCCCTGATTAGCCTGGCGAAGGACCCATACATACGCAGTTGTGAATACCGCAATTGTGAATACCATCTTCGCCCGCGTTCCATATGTGGCCACACGGCTTCCCGCCGGAGCCCGACATGCTCAGGGACACGTTCGTGGCCGTCTTCGCGGGCGCCGACGACGACGAGGACGGCGTCCCCCTGACCAAGGAGCAGAAGCAGGAAAGGCGTCTGAGAGCCATGAGGGGGACTGCCACTGGCGCCTTCGGTGAAGCTCCGATGGGGTTACGATCCTCGTGAGGGGCGTGCCGAAATGGCCCGAGGCCGCCACGCGAACCCTGCCACAGGCGCCGTCGGTGGAGCTCCCCATGGGGCCACGATCCTCGTGAGGGGGGTGCCGAAATGGACCGAGGCCGCCATGCGAACCCTTCCACTGGGGCCTTCGGTGGAGCTCACTACGGGGCCACGACCCTCTTGAGGGGTGTGCCAAAATGGCCCGAGGCCGCCATGCGAACCCTGCCACTGGCGCCTTCGGTGGAGCCCACTACGGGGCCACGATCCTCTTGATGGGTGTGCCGAGATGGCCCGAGGCCGCCATGCGAACCGTGCCACTGGCGCCTTTGGTGGAGCTCCCTATGGGGCCACGATCCTCGTGAGGGGTGTGCCGAGATGGCCCGAGGCCGCCACGCGAACCCTGCCACTGGCGCCTTCGGTGGAGCTCCTCATGGGGCCACGATCCTCGTGAGGGGCGTGCCGAAACGGCCCGAGGCCGCCATGCGAACCCTGCCACTGGCGCCTTCGGTGGAGCTCCCTATGAGGCCAAGATCTTCGTGATGGGTGTGCCGCAATGGCCCGAGGCCGCCATGCGAACCGTGCCACTGGCGCCTTTGGTGGAGCTCCCTATGGGGCCACGATCCTCGTGTGAGGGGTGTGCCGAGATGGCCCGAGGCCGCCATGCGAACCCTGCCACTGGCGCCTTCGGTGGAGCTCCTACGGGGCCACCATCCTCGTGAGGGGTGTGCCGAAGTGGCCCGAGGCCGCCATGCGAACCCTGCCACTGGCGACTTCGATGGAGCTCCTTCTGGGGCCACGAAACGCTGTACTGGGTGGGTGAAACGCAGGGAGGGAAGAGGAGGGAGGAGGGGGAAGAGGGCGGGAAGGAAGGAACGCGGGGCGCCGTCTCTTCAAAACGAGGACCCAACACCATAGGATGGTTGGGAAAAACGAGGGCGGGCGCGCGGGCATACTGGTTTCAATAATGGATGCAAACGAATTGGCCTTCTTCCGCCTGGAAACTGCGTAACGCGCGCAACACGCATCACATGTTAGATGCGCGCGCACCCCGGAAAGATGCGCGCCCTAACGATGACGATCCCTCCTCGGAGGAGACGACAGGGGCGAGCAACACCATGTACCCAGAGGCGCTGATGGTCCATGTTTTTGGCCAGGTTCCCTGCGAATAATTGCGTGTAGTGCCCGCCCCTGGGCTATTTCCCTGGTATCCGATCTCGTGGGTTGACTTTCGCCACGGAATCCAAGTCAATCCCAACACCTTCCCCAGGGACGTTTTTTCATCGCGAACCGTTGCTTCACGGTCCCAGGGCCCAGCGAGGGCCCCCGAGGCCGAAAAGAGCATTTTCTCCATACGTCGCCGTCGCCGAACCCCCCCTGGGCAGATGCGACCGGCGCGGCCGATGCCGTCGGCGCCGTGCTCGCCTTGCCGTAGGCGGGCGGCCCGGTGGCGGCTGGGGCCTGCGCCTGGGGTCGTCAGCGCCGCCGACGCGCGCGGCCAGAGCGGGTGGCGGAGGCGATGGCGACGACGACGACGACGACGACGACGACGACAACGACGACGACGACGACGACGACGACGACGACGACGACGACGACGACGACGACGACGACGACGGCGGCGGCGGCGGCGGCGGCGGCGGCGGCGGCGACGACAACGACGGCGCGGCGACGGCGATGAATTCGACGACGGCTTCGGCGACGACCATAGCGGCAACAACAACAACAACAACAACAACAACAACAACAACAACAACATTGGGACGATGGCAATGACTACTACGACGACGACGACAATGACATATTTGACGATGGCGGTGACCACAACGTCTTCGACGACGACGACGATGGCGACGGCAACGAAGAAAGGGACGGAGAGAAGGGACCACCGAGGATGGGGGAAGACAATTGGGAGGGAGAGGCGAGCAAGGAGAGCGGGGAGGAGGGGGTGAGGGTTTGAGACGAGAGGGGGAAGAGTGAGGGAGAACTGGGGTGGGGGGAGGAGGGAGGTTGGCGGCAGGAGGGATGAGAGATCTGGGTTCTAAGGTCCAAGGTCGGCGACGGCGACGACAACGAACTCATCGCGATGAGAAAGACAACCGCGGCGATGGCACCGATCGCTGCAACCGCCGCCACTTTGACCACTTACCAGACCACCCCAACCTAACCCCAAGACCCCTATTTGGGGTTGGGGGAAGCGGGTTCTGCATGAGTTGTGGCTTCCAAAATGTTCCCCAGCGCCCACCCCGCTGGGAATGGAAGGAACATTGGGGCCTTCGGGATGGGTTCGGGTGGTTTGGTGGGAAGTAACACTCAGCATGAAAGAGAGGGCCCCGAATCGGGAGCGGCCAAGAGGGGGGGTGTCCAAGAAGGGGGGGGGTGCAAATCATGACTGGCGGCATATGCGCGGGCCAGCGAGGGGGGCCAGGGACGTCAGGAAACAAGAAGCGGCGCCACGAGAGCTCGGGAAATCTCGTGGCCCCGCCATGATATCCACCCCCCGTTAGTCCTCACCCCCCCCTCTGCCGCCCCCGACCGAAGGAAACGGCTCACCGGACTCCGGGGCCTTCCCCGAAAGTCGGGGGGGGGGGGGGGGTTCGTCCCGAAGCGTTCTCGGGCGGCGCCGGGGCCAGGAGAGGGCCCCCAACAGGGCCGACACCGGCGAAAAAACCTCCAGGGCGCGTTCCCCGTAAGACTCTTGCCCTTCACTGCGACCTCGTGCCGTCGCTCGGACGTCCATTTCCCGTGCATTGTTCGGTTTCGTGCGTGTTCTTTTTGTTGCTCGATGCTCCAGGATGGTCCTCGATGGTTCTCGCCGAGAAAAAATGCACACGTCCGAACGATGCCGAGACCTCGCGAAACCCCCTCCCTTGGACCTGCCCTGGGAAGCATGCGACGACCGCGGTGAGACAGGACGGGGAGGGGGCGGTCGCGGAGGAGGAGGAAAGGGAGGAGGAACAACTAGAATTGCGGGGGCCGGGTGGCGGTAGGAAGGAAGCATGAGATATGCGTCGGGCAAAGCATACTGTCGCACGGGCACCCCATCCAGGGACTGTGCCGTGTGCGGGCCGACAGACCTGCTGGCACGTCTTATGTCGACTGGCGCCGGACTCTCAAACAACTGACACGACTGGGCATCCATCTGGCGCTGTATCGGGTGAGTTTGTGCATGCGCCTCGCCGACCCCGCTAGAGATTCGGCTTGCCACTGGCTCCATCTCACCTGAGCTTTGTTGTTGGGACTAGCTCGAGCCTCAGAAGAATCAGCATTCCAATCGTCGAGCGCCTGCCTGCAACGATCGATCCATCGTGAGTTTATCTAGCTGTCTTGATGTCGCGTAGCCAACAGATCTCTAGCAGCGCGAGCGGTCAGATCGAGGCGCACTGACTGGCCCTCGCCTTCAAGCGGTTGCTGCAGCCTCTGTGTCAGGCCCCTGCACGACGCAAGCTCGGCATGGTCCACCAGGTCGCCGGTGCGGATCCAGATGTTCCTCTTCGTGCAATGAAATCCGCTGGGGCTAAACCCAACCTTCCCACTTAACCAAATCATTGCCTGGTTTTCCTGGGAGCGGGGAACACCGAGACGCACTTGGCGCGCAGCGGTCGCCCCTTGAGGCCCTTGTGCGTACTCGTAACCCCCAATGCGCTTGCGAGCTCAGCATCCATGACATGCGGAAACATCCTCCAAGCCTGGTTCATGAGGGCCCAAGCATGCCAAACCGACAAATTACTGGCCGCACCGTTGGCCTCCTCAGCCAAAGCTCGGGCCCCCTGCCAGTCGTGGTGCCTGAGGGGTAGTCCAAGTTGGCCCTCTGCGGGAATCCTCTGGCAAGCGTGGCATACCAACCGTTTCAAACGAAAAGCACCTGTCTTGGGTGCAAGCTGACCTGGCCGACGAGGTCCCCCCGGCGAAGTGGTGACAACGTTCCGGGAGACTGCCCCAGCAGTCACCGTCATCGTTCTCGTACCCACAAACTGAAACTCACCAGCTTTGGGGCCCTGGGCCATTGGACCCGACGGACAGCCACGCCCCAAAGACGACAACTTAGCACCACAGCAAAGAGGTATTCCATACCTGGACTGCCCCCGTGCGACATCAGAGCAGACTCTCACCCATTGCGACAGACTGGACTCACCGCTCGACCCGCGCGGAGCGGGGCTCTGCACCTGGCGTGTCACTACAGACAGTCCGATAAACTTGGCACGACTTGCGGGGCCCCGCTGGCTCGTCCAGCACGTCCGCGACCCCCCGCGGGCGGCCATGAAGAGAGCCTCGCCCGCCCGAGTTCGCCGGGTCCGTCGACACTTCGGCTCGAGAGGGGCGGCCCTGGGGGGGCGCCTGCTTCCCCAGCGCGCCTCCTCGCCTCCGCGCGAAGACGGCTCGGGGGGCCGGGGCGTCCGCGATGGCAACGACGACGACGTCGACGACGGCCAACGGCGGCGGTGGCGGCAGCACAGACAGGCTCAGGTTTCTCTTAAGATTTGAGTTGCCGCCCCACTCGCGAAATCCTTGCCTCCTCGCTCTTCCTGGCGTCGCTGCCCCAAAGAAAGCGCGCCCGCGCGCTTTCGCACCTGTTCGAATGTCCAATGTTGCTTGCTTTTTTTCCAATAGACATCTGCCGAGGGCACGCGAAGACCCCCTGGGGCCTTCGGCAACTCGGGATCACCGACGCCACGGCCCTAACGGCAAAACAGGGGAAACTATCTGGAGTGTTTTCGGGGCCGGCAGTCGGGCAACCTCATGCGATTTGAGGCCTCGGGCCGCTTTCTCAAATCGCACCAACTTACCTGACTTTCTGTAGGCGGCCAAGAGGCCGAGGGCAAAGTAAGACACCCTGGCGCGACTCGTGCTCCTGGACCTCAGATAAGACCCTGAACACACGCAGCTGAGCTGGTGGCAGGACGTCGGGACGGCTGCGCGCCACCCTTGGTGCTGAAGCGCGTGAGTCTCGCCTGGACGAGAGCCTCGAGGAAGACGCGCTCGTCTCCCTCGTGTGGCTCCCAAAACGGGTATGCACCTTCAGCGGCCCTGAAAGCGTCGTCCATGTTAGCATCAGCTGTGGGGGCAGAGGCACCACAACCAGAAGACCACGACGACGCACTTGATTGCTTTTGGCAGCCTGCGCCGTCGCGAAGCGCTCCGTGAACTCCTTGAAAGCCTCCGACTGCAGCATATTATCGATGGCGTCCTTGCCCACGAGCATCAACGCTGGCAAATTGAATTCGGCACTGCCACTAATTACCACCGACGCCATCCGTGACTTTTCGATCTCGTTACAGATCTGGTCCACCTGCTGGTAAACGGCGACTCTATTGGCCTTTAGCTCGACCCTGAACGTCTCGGCCTCATTGATCGCCTGAGCCGTGTTCGCCAACTCCGCCTTGAGACCCTGTAGCTGTTCTGCTTGCGCGCGAACTTGCGACCAAAGTCCATGTACTGCGCCATGTCGCTACTATTGGCCTCGAGTTCCTTCCGCGCGTCTCGGAGCTGCCCCCCAAGTTGAGTGCGTGTTTGCTTCATGTGCGGGCTCCTGCATGTTTTGATCGCCAGTTCCAGCTCACCCGCCTGTAGTGCCAGCGGGTCCCCAGCATCAGCCTAGTTCCCCTGTTGCACCGTGCCCTTTCCCTGCATGTGGGCTGGGCGTCGTGGCCAGTTTCTTGATGCAGTTGTCGAGCTGCTTCTGGAGCTGGGCCAGCTGTTGGTCGAGCTTTTCATTCCTGACGCCTTCCAGCGCCCTGGGCCCTCCTGCCGCTGCCCCGCCACCACCACGAGGAGGAGGGGCATCACGGCCACCGAAGGTCTTGCCGCGCTTGAGGACGCGCCGCGGCGCCTGCGGGCCGCATCTGCACCGTAGACGGCACGCCCGGTTGGATGTGAGCCCGCAGGCCTGGCCGCCCCACAGAGAGAGCTTCGGGCCCTTGACCAGATCCCTCAGAATTTGCTCCGACAAAGAGCTCACGAAAAGAGGGATGGGATTCCTCAAGCCGCAGAGAGAGGGAGGAGAAGGGGGGGGGCGAGGGGAGGGAGGATCGGGGCGGATGAAAGGGGGAGATAGCAAAGGGTAGGTTTCGCTCATCCGTTCATGTGGAGGGCCCCCCCGGCGCCCCCCGGCGCTGGACGCGCCGCGGCATCGAGGAAACCGCCCTGGGGCGATACCGAAATCAGGTGCACGAAGCAGGTTTCGTCACACATCCCTTTTACCATCCCCCCATTCTGAGCATCGGTTATCCGATCCCCATCCCCAGCGGCGTGGCCTGGGCCCCACTGGCCGATCTACCCCCCTAGATGGGAATATTGGTCGTTCCCTTCGGGTTTCGAGGGGCGCAAAGTCGGGGCGCTGACCTAAGGAACCCTAAATCAGGAACGAGGCCACTTTTTTCCATAAGTTAACTTTCAGCATTGTGTCGGGGCCCGCCCTATGACAGGCGATGCGCAGACACTAGCTACACTTGTTGCTGCCGCTCAGGTGTCACCAACAAACACTCTTCTTGCACGTGTGTCTAGCCTCGGCCACCGCACCTGATGCGGAAGCCTCAGACACTCCACTCTCCTGAAACTGAATCTTCAAATTGACTGGTCTGCTGGACTGGTCGGCTCAAGAACGCGAGGGAGGGGCGAGGAGACGAGGACGGAGCAGGAAAGAAACAGGCTGCGCTCGGCGACACGGGAGGGGCGTGCTTGAGCATACGAGGCGACGGTGCCCTCTATGCTCCCTCGCCATGCCCCAACGTGCTCACCGAAAACTACCATTCACGAGCTCATTAAACCATTTCAGCACTGTGTCGGGGTCCACCCTATGACAGACGATGCGCAGACACTAGCTACACTTTCTGCTGCCGCTCAGGCGTTATCAACAACACTCTTCTTGCACGTGTGTCTAGCCTCGGCCGCCGCACCTGATGCGGAGGCCTCAAAAACTCCACTCTCCTGAAACTGAAACTCGAATTGATTCAAATGGACTGGTCTGCTGGACTGGTCGGCTCAAGAACGCTCACCACCACCCGCACCCGCGAGCGGTTCCTCATCAGTCAAGCTAGGGCCAGTGCCATTCACCGTGAAACCGTCGCCCGTATTCGCTGTGCGGTCCGGATCCAACGGGCGCGTCACTACGCGCCCCCGAAGGGGAAAAGGTGCTGGGCAGCCCGCGCGAGCGCGCGGCTCACCCGCGGGTCGAGCCCCCTGGGAGGGCGGGAGCGCCACGGAGCGCCTCGGGGCCGAGGTCAAGCTCAGGCGCGGGGAAACAAGATTCTGACAGGACCTTCAACTGCTCGGCCATGGTCGGCGCCTCGGCCGACTCATCCATACCGAGCAACCACCACGCTGGGTTTGCCCACTGCGGACGGAAACGAATCGCGACCACCCTCCAGGCGATCCCGACATGGCCGCTGGGAAGCCAGCGGACCCAAAAACTCACGGACTGGTACATGTTGGGAGAGCGGAACGCACTGTGTGTGAATTCACCCCTCGGCCTAGTGGCCGAGGAGAAGAGCAAGAGGCGCTCCAGCTCGTCAGAAAACTCCGGCTCAAGCTGCATGACCCGCTGGACCTCCGGCTCCTGGAGAAAAGCGGGCCAATCGTCTTCATCCTCGACGAAAAACCTGCCGGTGCTGCCCTGCACGTGGACATCCATCAGGTCGACGCCGCGCCAAGCCGCCTCGACCAGGCCGATCGACCCATCAGTCACTGCTGACCCGAGCTTCGCTACGCTCGTGCTCACAGTCGCTCCTGCAGTCACGATCTTCCCCGCTGCTGCCCCCACCTCTTCCGCCACGTCGGTCATGGCGACGAGGCCCCTGGCGGTGGTGGGGAAGAGGCTGGCGGGCAAGATGCCCAGCAGCACGGCGGCCAGCACGAGCTTGCCCAGGAGGGGCCCGGACGGCGCACACTTCATCAGCCACTGGAGCTGGCCGCCCTTGCCCGACTTAAGCGATTTGGCAAGAGACCTCCCCGCTGCCGCCTGCATCTTCGCGCTGGCCTTGGGCGCGGCTGGCGGCAGTGGCGGCGCTGCTGGCGACGGCGGCGGCGCGGCTGCGCCCCGCGGCGGCACTGGCGGGCAGTTGGCCCCACCCATGTCCAGGCCCCAATGGGGTCCGCGGGGGCGGCGCGCCCGCGCGGCGCTGCATCGGCGCGGCGGGTGCCCGCGCCGAGCTGGCCCCCGGGCTGACCACCTCCAGCCACGAGCCCGCCTCCGAGCCCGACTTCGCGCCCTCGCCCCTGGCCTGCGCTGCCGCGCCCTTGCGGCGCGGCGCCTTGACGCCGCTGGGCGCCCTGGTCCCCGCCATCGAAGGCACGGCGAAACGTAGGGCACCAGTGGCGGGCGGCCCCGTCCAGGGCAGGCTGCAAATCGGCTGCGCGTAGAGCTGCGCCCACCTGTGACGCTTGAACCACATCGATATAGATGCGCAGCGAGGAGTCGACCCTCCATCTTCCCATCTCCCTGATGGTCTCGAAAAGGGATCCCGAGGGCGGTCGACTCCGAAGCAAAACCGGCTCGAGGGCTGTGCGGCCCCCACCCGACGTCAAGGTTGCACGAGGCCTGCACGGTCTTAATGAGGCCACGGTACTGGGCCAGGGAGAACGGGAAATTCCGCTGGCCCTTGGGAGTGCGACGGCGAAGAATCCTGAGGCCCTCTGCGAGGCCCGGCTCCTGCTCCTCCAGGAACGACACAGACTGCGGGCGCTTGGCTGTCGTCATCGCCCGGGCCCCCAAACCGATGACGACAGGTCCCGAGCCTCCAGGATAGCCCCAGTCCTCCGGGAGGGTGACGTCGTCAGCCTCTACCCCCAGCATTTCACTCGGCCCCATCCCGAACTTGCCCTGGATCACAATGCCGAACCCAAGACGCGGCACACCACTGGCGCAAAAATGAATACACATCCAGGCACACACGTTACTAATCATGTGGACGGTGCGACGAGGTTGGCGAGCATAGTCCCAGCCCTTGAGGGCAGCCTTAACTCGACACAGCCCCCCCTTCATGCGCGGGAAGCGGAACTCCACCGCCGCGAGGAGCAGTGTGAACTTGGACTTAGTCAGGACCCCCATCCCCACAGCCTCGGAGCCCCCAAACCTCTTGAAGTCCATGATAGCGCCATCCCACTGATCGGGGGTGAACGGCTCCACCCCCTCTCTGGCACACCACTTCACAAAAGGGACCACCGCCTCCTTATACTTGAGGACAGTAGTAGCTGAGACCCTCCCCTCCTCATGCACATCGACTATTTCTGAATCGTCCTGTGCTGCTGGACGACCTGGACCGGGCCCTGCGAGATGCCCTCTAACACCTCCCTCGAGATCCATGTCCTACTGCGCGACGCCCAATCGGCGGGCATCCGCCACGCCTCGACCCAGGGCAGCAGCAGGCGTAGCTCAGCGGCGGCACAAAGGGCGCATCGGCGGCGGAGGAGGAAATTGAGCAGGCCCGCGGCGGACCCCCCCTTGGCAATGGCGCACGAGCAAGGCATGTTGTCCTCGAGCGAAATCACCTTACTCCTATAGAAACCCTGAACCTGCACCAACCTCTCCAGCGCCAAAACGACGGCCCTCATCCCCCCCACGGTGCTCCTCCCACCTCCACATACCAGCAGCGACTGGGATCCAGGAACGGGGTGCCTCCCAGATCTCCTTCGGGACCGAGCTGACGGGGAGGTCGGGGTGGAGCGAGCGGGCGGCCTTGTCGAGAACGCGCTTCTCCTGGCCCAAGCGAGCGAGAGCGAAACCAGGCCTAGTCCCGGCCTCCCAGAGCAAGCGGGCCTCGCGGCCAAAAATCACGGTGGCGACGATACCGTAGCCCCCGCAAGCCAGACCGTTCGGCCCCTCGGCATCCGTAACCAGGACCACCTCCGAGATGGGCGCCCACGCAGAGCCCCATGAGCCCACACCTCATAACCTTCCACTCCCTCAGAGCGCCGGGCCGCCATTTTCGGAGCCCTCGGCGCCCCTGGAGCCCTTCATTCTGCTTAGCGAACTGGAAGATATGCTGAGGAGCCGCAAGCCAATGCCGAGCCAGCAGCGCCGCCCAGACCCAGACTCCCAGCAGCGATGATACGGCATCCAGAGACACCCAGGAGCGACTTTCCAGGTACAGCGCGGCCTCGCACAGGGCCGCGGCCTTCGGGGCAGGTAGCCTAAGTCGGGCAGGTTCGGCTCGATCTCATAGCCTGCAACCTTGTCCATTTCCTTGGATTCCCGGCGGTCGGGAACTTTAAAGCCCAACTCCACTAGGTCGTCCGCGGCACAATGCATGACAACGTCCGCGGCCCCCTTGGAGCCGACGTGGTCGCTGCCGCCCGTCATCACCAGGCCGTCGTCGATATGGAGGTAAAAGCCTACATCCCCTTTGCCCAAGACACTGTTTTTTTTCATATTGACGCTTGTCTCGTTGAGTATGTGGAGCCCCCGCTCGCGCTGGGAACTGCTCGGCCTAGACCACTGTAAAAGCCTAGCAGCACGACGCGGGGGCAAAACAGCAGCGAGCGGTTCTGACATCTCCCGGCGCCTCCTGACGAAACTCCGTATCAAACAAAAGCCCAGGAAGCGGCTGAAGGCCGTCGGGCACGTAGCCAAACGTGCGGTCGCAAAGTCTGGCCGCCCCCCCTCCCCCGCCATCCGCCCGGTGCCCCTGTAATGTTGGTGCTTCCCATCACGTCGGCACCCCCCTCCCAAAGCCCATCGGCCGCGCCCGAAAGCGTCGTCGCCTTGCGCGCCAGGCCGCCGTACACGCACTGATCAAGACTCACGCGCACGGCCGACGTGCGCCCCCCCATGGCACACATCACCTCCGCGCTGTAAACTGAGGGATATGGGTCCTCGCCAGGGTCTTCGGGATGCTCGTGAATATGCACCCCTCCCTGGGCGGAGACTCCTTCGCAAATCGACAGAAAGTTCAGGGTCAGGAGGTTGGGCCCCCGGACGCGCCCCGCCTCAGCTTCCGTGAGCCCCGAGCCAGGGCGCCCCCAAACGTATTTGCCTCGGAAACGCAGCGGCCTCGGAAACGCATTTGCCGCGGAAACTCGACGAAGCGGGACCGCGGCCAGGTCGAGCACGGAGGCCCTCCGACTATGCCGTCGATATACCCCCGAGCCACCAGGCCCCATAGCTTCTGGAAGGTCTCCGGAATAGCGAGGCCCCAGTTGGGGCCCAGCTCGAGGTCACACGAGAGCACCAGGATCAAGGTTATGCATGGCCCCCAGGGTGCGAAGCCACTCATCTAGATCACCGGGCCGCCTCGGGCCAGCGAACACGTGCACGACGACGACGACACCCTTCCCAGACGCCTTAACTTCCGTGACCTTCTGAACCCAACCGTCCGCAGTGAACCCCGCACCTACGTCCCCGACCTTCTTACGTTTGTTCCCCTGGGCCCAATCCTCGTCGCCCACCCAAAAACTGGCCCTCCTCATTGGCGTCGAAATCCTCCTCCGAGAAGCCCCGCCAAAGGCCACTGCTACACAGGTCATGTTAGTATTCATAAGGATGTGGACGCTGCGCGAGCCCCTCATGACCAGACGTTCCCACATAGGAAATATCCAATCCCCAGGCTGGGCCCGCCCCCGAACGCCCCAAGGAAGAGCGGCCCAGATCAGGCCGGCTCTAATTGGGGGCGCAGCTTGCCACGCCCACATGCACTCAGGCACCTCCACAGACGCAAAGGCATTGCTCTCGTCGAAGGCCGACGCGCTGGCGAAATCGCTCGGCACGCGCGCGCTGGCGAGGGCTGCCCCGCCGTGGATACCGTGCCCCCCCCCGAGGGCGTGCATCATGGAACATATAATTAGAGGCCACCATCATGATAATCTTACATTGCTTAGTGGGGTCCTTTTTGGGCACAACTGAGAAACCTGCTACAGCTCGGACGTCTTCTCGAAAACCAAACTTCCATGGATTAAGGGGCCATGTCCCGCCTCAGGAAATATCTGGCGTACTCCTCCTCAGATCCTACTACGAAACCGTACTGCTTCTCAAGCTCCCGGAAAATTGTCTGCGAACGGACCTCAAGGGCCGCCACTACTCGGGCCTCCTTTGAGTAGACGGCCGCCTCTTCTGGACTCAGGGCGGACAGCATGGGCGCCGCTCTGGGATCCAGGGGCTCATCCACAGCATCAGCTCGCAGGACCTCGCGCGCGGTCTTGCGCCTCTGGGCTCCTGCACGCGATAGAGATGCCGACTTCGCCAACTTCTCGACGGCTTGGGCGCCTGTCAGGCCGCAGCCCCGGCGCGCCTCACGGAGACGCACTGCCTCACGTAGAGCCAGCTGCTGGATCTGCTTCCTTGTGTGAGCTCTCGGCAGTTTCCCCGACGCATGGCATTCAACGCAGTGAAGTACTCGTTGGCCAGTGTCATCAGGGCGAACTTCTTGTGAAAACGTTGACGGAGGCGATTGGGCGCGCTGTCGGGCCGCGTCGGAGCCTCCACCAATGGGATCGGGTACAATCGGGCGCCAGGCGCCGCGTGCAGCAGATCGCGCAGCCCTTGGGTCTCGTCCAGCACCTGCTTCTGGACCCAGCGGCCGCGCTCAATGCCTCGGCTGGCCACTGCCATCCCAGCCGAGGCCGCCCTCTGTCACTCAGGCTTCTTCACCCCCCCTTGAGGGGGGCCCTTCTTGGCATTGTCCTTCTCGCTCTTGTCGCCCTTGCCGCCCCTCCGCCTCAGGTCGGCGGCCACCCTCTCGTTTCTCTGGTGCTCTGCATTGCTGTGGGCGGTGGCGGCCTGTACCAACCAGCTCGGTGCGACATCCGTCTGGCTGCCTGGGGGGGGCACACCCAGCATGTGGAGCGCTGCCGTGCGATCCCCGGACCGACTCTCGCACATGTACGCCGCCAGGCGGCGGACAGAAATCTCCATGAGGTCGCTGGTGCTCAGGAACTTATAAGGTCATCCTCGGTCCTGCAATCTCGCACTGCAAAGTCCAAAGTAGAAGCCAAAGTCCATAAATCTGTCCACGCGGGCGAAGTGCGGCTGCCGTCGTATCGAGCCGACAACCAATCCCTCGTAGGTGTGCAGCCCTCAGCTCTCATCGCTCGGTAGATCTCGGCGCCCGCCCTCTGCATGTCGGGCGGGAGGCCGGCTCCCCACCTGGTCTCCTGGCTGCCTCCTGCCGCCGACGCTAGCCCTCCTAGGCCCAGCGGGTCGCCCGCTGTGCCGCCGAAAGCGGGAGCCGCGCTGGAGGCCAGGGCCTCCAGGCCCCGGGCCAGGTCGGCCACCCTCGGCGCGGTGACGGTGCCCACGCCCACGTAGCCGCACCCGCGCAGGAGCTGCACCACGGTCGCGTCGAGCTGGCCGCCCTGCTCGAGCCTCACCACGGAGTCCCAGAACTTCGTGGCCCAGTAGGGGTCCGCGTGGGCAGTGGCGCTGGTCGTCGTCAAGTAGTCCTTCACTAGCGCGGCGCCTTGCTGGCGGCCCCGCTCTCGGTAGGCCGATGGACGGCCTCGGCTCCACCTGCGGCCCCTGTCACACCTGCCCAGCCCGCCAAGTCGCCCAGGGCACTCGCCCCCGCTGGCGCGTAGCCGCTCGCGGCGACGCCGCTGGGCGCGAGGGCGGGTGGCGGGGCTGGAGCGGCCCCCGGAATCCCGAACGGCACGGCGGCGGGCGGCCCCTCGGGCCCCGCGTCGGGCGCTGCATCACCAGGGTCACCGCCTGGCGCCATTCCCGACGCCCTCATCAGCGCGCGCATCTGCTCGAGCTCCTCCTTCAGCTGCGCCACCTCGCTGTCGGGCGGAGTGGGACTGGCTCGCCGTGGAAGCCACTGCCAGGTCAGGCAAGCCGTAGAGCCCAGGCCCGTGATCAGGCTCGCTGCAGCCTAGCGCTGTCCGCCACGTGGAGGCCCCTCGCGTCAGCAAGAAGCTCAGGGCGCTCAAGGTGGCCAGCACCCCGCACAGCCTCAGGCGGGTGCTCCAGGACCAAGGCGGGGGCGCCCCCGCTTCGGGGGCGGGCGTCATGGCACGTGACGTCGGGCGCAGTAAGGTAAAACGTGATCCCGCGTGCTTGAGCATACGAGGCGACGGTGCTCTCTATGCTCCCTCCCCATGCTCCAACGTGCTCACCGAAAACTACCATTCACGAGCTCATTAAACCACTTCGATTTCCTGTCGAAAACATAAGGAAAGCCTGAGGCAAGCTGCGACACACTTAAGGAACGCGGAGCCCCTCCCCAACGAAAAGGGTTCCTTCTGCAGGGCCCCGACTGTATCCCCAACTGGGGTGGTAATTTGGTGGGGGTCTCGAAGGGGATGGGGATGGGGTTGGGGATCGTTTAAAGGATACCGACTTTCGTCCGACCCGAGTGGAGAAAGAAGGACAGTGGACACCGAGGACTCTCCGCCGGCCAGCCCCGCCGTGGATCGCGGCGCGAGCGAAGGCGGGCGCTGGCGCCTGCGCAGGCGCGGCCGCGTAGCCCGGTGCCATGACACCTGCAAGGTACCAACGGGAGGTGCGGTCGTCGTCGTGGACGTCGGAGTCCACAGCCCAGCAGATTCTACCAGGAAGCTGGAAGCAAGCGTGGATGGATGCACACGTGAAGGGCCAACGTGTGCAGACACACGAGGACGGAGCGCTGGACGGACATGCGGCCACATGTGTATCCGGCTCTCGCCCAGGCCTGAAAGATGTATATCCAGCTTGCTGGTACGTGTGAGGTGCACCCGTCGAGCGGTCATAATTGGACTCCGAGTCTGGCTCGTAATTCCAGCAGGCGCATACCTATGGAACAAGTGTGTGGAACATCTCTTGAGCTAAGGTCCTCGTCGTCGTCGCCTCCCTCCTCCTCCTCTTCCACCTCTGCCTTTCGTAGGCCCCAGGGCACAGAAGGGAGGGAGGAGGAAGAGAAGCAGGAAGAGAAAGAGCAGGAGGAAGACACATAAGAGAAGAAGGACCAGTGCAAACCCAAGACCCATCATCGATGTTGGAATTTGCCAGCCCAACGGGTCAGAGGCGTGCTAAGATCTCAGGTAACTGGATATGCATATTCTAGTTCGCGCGCGCGGGTCCGCCCCTGGGGGTCCCTGGACGAAAAAGTAACCCTTCGGAACCCTGGCAAGGTCCCGGCAGACTCGGGTCAGAGATGGTTTTGCTCCTGGGGGCGGTTTTCGGGACCCTCCAGATCACCCCAGGAGCAGCCCAAGGAACCTCAAGGCAACTACAAAAGGACCCACGAATCGGAATCACGGCCCAAGAGCGCTCCAAGACGCCCAAGATGGCCCCAAGACGGCCCAAGAGGCCCCAAAGAAGCCCCAAGAGCGCTCCAAGAGAACCCCAAAGAGGGCCAACAGAAGCACAAATCATTATTGTTCCTTGTGTTT